AAAAAGATGCATAAGATGGCTGCTTGCCAGTTTCCGTTATCCGCGGTTCCGGTCGCCCAGAGATAGAACACGTCGAGCGTCGGTGGTGCGGCTACCGTTTGCCCGGGGGTGGTCGAGCGTCGTTCGTGGGGGAGAGAAGCGTTCGGGGCATTCCCGTGATATATGAGGGAGTCAGGATTAAGCGATAAGCTACACACTCTTCTGCCGCCTCGATCTCCTGTTGAATGAGGCGTCCAATAATAGGGGTACCGCGCGATCCTTTCCACTCACTAATTGTAAACAGCATCCAAAAACAAGGCGAGATCGTTTTTAAATTAATCTCGCCGCTAAACTGTCCATTTGTAATAAAGCACGGTAGCTCGCAATCAAGATCGCGTGTAAGTGAGAGTCTTAATCCACCTCTGTCTACGGCTCTAAATTAAATGGAAAATGAAGCTGAACATTTCTTATCCCTTACAGTTAGTGAAACGAACGAGCATGTACTGCAATGCGCAATGTTTTCCAACATCACCAAAACTACCCTGCCTGCCTGATGCACAAGAGCTCACTTTACAACACATACACACACACTACTCGAGTTTCGTGCCCCAATATCGACGTTTAGAGACATTACTGGCACTGGATTAGATCATAAAAGCAGTTAGGATGCGTGCTAACCGATAATTGCTTATTAAATTACCCTTAAAGTCTCGTAAATCCAATTTAAAGCGCAAATATGAAAAGTTACATCGACGATATCGGCGATACCGTTAACAAACAGTTGTTAAATATGTAGTTGAAATGTACTTGTTGGTCGTTACCGCTATTAGCCTTCGCCGTAAATGTCCCCATTAAATTTTAGATGAATTAAGATACTTTAGAGGGGGACAAAAATGCTTAGTTGCATCGCACGGGGGGACGTTGAATAACGGAACCAAAAAGTACTATATATAATAACGCGATTGTGAAGTCACGTGTAATGACGTAAGCTAGGATCATCTTCACCGAAATTTATTATGTCATAGAAAGTGTTAAATGACGCTGAAACATCTGGATTAGGGCTACCGCTGTTATATTCGTTCATTTTCATATCTGCTTCAACGACATTGTTAGAAATGCGGTTCGTAAATTATTACGTCCCTTCATTATATTCGATATAAATTAATGATTCCTAATAACAACTCAATATCGTGGCTTCCGGACGTACGCCTCGTCGAAATTCCAATTTGGAAAATGTGTGCCTACATTTTTGCCAAAAAATTTAAATATTAAAGAGATGAAATTGCACGTTTCAATAGACACTTACAGACTAAATTCGCGAAATACTAGTTTTGAGATCCGATCTTGTATTTTATTGCCAAAAACTGCAGTTCTCGTGTCAACTAAGCGAGTTTTTTCCTCGATTTGATGGCTTACTTTTGCACAGTAGCGAAAATGTGTTAAATCAATGCATGAAATCTATCATTTATACGATATTCCTTCCAAGTCCAATTGTATAATTTCAGTTTACTAATGGTAACGATTTGGCCATCTTAAAGACATTACAACTTACAACACCAGTTGGTGCCATAGGGTTAACTTGTAATTTGCGTTTGCACTTTAACGTAACACTACCCACCCCATCTGCGATTTCGTAATTTATTACAACCCCAAAAAAAATCAGGGATACTCCAAATGAGGTAAAATGATAAACTGGAGCGGGTGGTAAATATACTAAACCTTCCCCATATTGAAAAATATTGTATGTAAAAGGCCTTAAAAGTCGAAATCTCCATTAAAGTGTCTGAATAATGTGTTAATTAGAAATGTCTAGAACCACGAAAAATTTAAAAACGAAAATCAATAAGTTTCGTTTTTTTGCGATATTTTCAAAACTATTGATGATATTTTAAATTTCTCTTCAGATTATTATTCAGCACGAAAATTCGCAACGTTGCCCTCATTTAACCAAATTTCTATCTTTTAAGGTAAGCGAGATCGCCATAGTGGCACTCGAAAAATGGACGCCGGATATAGGATGAATAAGCAACTACCTAAATGTTGATGAACACCTGAAAAATCTTGGGCACGAATAGAAAAATATGACGTGAAACCTCTATCCGGGTTGCACAAAGGGTTCGAATAAACACAATAATTTGATTGACAATAGCAAAAGTTTATTTCGAAACACATGATACGAAAAATTTATGCAAAATTTCTGAAAAAGAGGCAAGCTTACAAAGTTTGTTTAAACAAACTACCCCGCACCCGAGCGGTCGACATATAAAATAATAAAATCTTAAAATTACAGTAGAACCGTGCTAATCCGAACCTCGTGAATCCAAATTTGCGTTAATCCGAATACGCTGAAACGCACTTAACTCCACACACTCATACGCTGACAGCTTCTGAACTTCAATTTTCTTTAACACACAAATCTTGATGAATCGATAAAATTAATCCTCGCGTGACCAAGCGGGGAAACGCAGTTACCCCAAAGGTATTTTTTTTAACATAATTTCGTAAAAGTAATATTACATTGCAACCGTATATTTATATAATTTAAATTTGTTGTAATTAAGTATTTTGTGACTGGGGTGAACAATATATCCCACGTAACAAAATTGTGCCGAACTAAAGCGAGTCGGGAGTGCAAACACCTACGCGATCCTGTCTTGAGATTAGCGGGTGCCGTTGAGGGAGGGGGGAATTGGTTTTATCTTTCAAGGTATTCTAATGAAAGGTCTCAACGAAAGGAACTGTTTTCTACGAACTACCTCCTTTCTCCCATACGATTTAAAAATCTTATCTGCACAATATTTCTTCATAATTTATACTTGATTTTAATATGTGTCAGAGTACAGTTTTTAAGCTTATAAATGCAACTCTTGTTGGCAAAGTATATGTAATACTATGCACAGGGTGGCCAAATAAGAATGCGAGGTACCGTATCTGGGAACCTGTTCATCGTAGAGGCTTGCGGTAAAAAAATCGTTACTAAAACGGCCACGAGAAAAACCTGGAAAATATATTTAAGTTTCTGAAATGGCCACTAGAGGGCGTAACTGCAATCTGGAATCTAAAAAAGTGATTTTTCTGTGAATTCCGCTATATTAACCTAACAAAAAAATGTCCGGTCTGGCGGTCATTTCAGAAACTTAAAAATATTTTCCAGGTTTCGTTCGTAGCCGTTTTAGTAATAAATTTTTTTACCGCAAGCCTCTACGATGGATAGATCTCAGATACAGTACCTCGCATTCTTAGTTGGCCACCCTGTACATGTACTTCAGACAATGTCTTGTTCATAAAACTCAAAACTTTAAGTGGGGCAACTGCGGTACCCCGCTTGGGCACCCGTTGAATATTTCATGTCTTGGTCACACGAGGGTTTTAACTTGATGAATAAAATAACTTTAGTTAACTTGCTTCTGCACAAAATTATTACAATACAGACAAGACTATGTCTTCAGCTAACCAAATTCGGCGGAGAACCTGAATAAAGATAGCGTAAACAAACTTCCACGCATTTTTCAACCGTCGCGAACCAGCTAACTTTGTTTTCCCTTGATTCCAATTTTTAAATCGCGAGGACTAGGATGATAAAGGCTATGGAAACACCACCGCCCCCACATTGAGTATGACGGCAAGCGAATAACACGCATAATTTGTGCTCCTGCCTTAAATTGTACTTTTATATTGCATTGTTTGTGTATAGTGATATTAGTAAGGATTACCTACTAAATTGTAACTTATCAGTGTATATAAATTGATTTCGGGTGAAAGGTTCACTGGCTTTATCTACCACAACAGATAATCCTAATACAAGTGCGGCTGTTAACAAATGTTTAAAACGCGATCTGTAACTCGTAAAGAAAAAGAGGGCCTGCAACTACCAGAGGATCACTCGCAATCAAGTCAGTCCAGCTTCTGCACAATGGAAAGTATGTTAGATATGATGGAAGAATTGAAAAAGGAGTTGGCAGGTATCAACAACAGTATATCTAATCTTAATACCAATTTTAACAATAAGTTAGATAATTTTATGAAGGATATGTCTTAAATGCGAGAATAATGCAAAAAGCATTACTTTGCTTAATAATAAAATTGATGATTTGGAACAACGGAGCCGAAGAAGTAATTTGCGTCTCTTTGGGGTCAAAGAATTGCAGAATGAAAATACGGATGAAGCAGTAATCCATATTTTAAATGATAATTTAAATTTAAATCTAACTATTAACGATATTGAGAGGTCACATAGAGTAGGTGCATTATCGCCGAATAAAATACGTGCCATAATAATTAAATTTAACAATTATCGTATTCGTCAGTTGGTATATAGTTCAAAATGTAAACTTAAAGGGACTGCATTGGTTCTACGAGAGGATCTTACTGCTAGAAGGCATAAAAAGTACATGGAGCTCCAAGGTGTTTATGGGAAATCGAATTGTTGGACAAGAGATGGAAATGTACTATTCAAAGTTAATGCAGATGTGAAGCTATACAGTTTTGATAATTCGAACTAGTGTAGTGAGCTTAGCAGTGAAGATAAACCCCTTTATTGAGTTTGAGAGATTACTTGTTTTTTCTTGTGTGTTTTCTTTATTCAAATGTAAAATCTATATTATTATTAATCAGCAATGATGCTACATTCATTTGTGTGTATATAACGAACTATAGTTTTTTTTCTTTGTGTAGAATATTCAGTATTCAAATTTTTGGTATGTATTATAAACCGATTATTTGTTGTATTTTTCCTTTGCGTATTTAGGTGGCCTATAATTAGTTCCCTGTGAACGAATTATGAGTAATACCACATTTGCTCATATCAATGTGCGGTCGCTCACCAGAAATTTTGTTGAATTTTCTGAACATGTAAGGATGAATAAATTTGATTTTGTTGCAGTTAGTGAAACCTGGCTACATAATGGTATTGACTCGCATATTGTTGCAATTGAAAATTATAATTTTTTACGAAAGGATCGTGGCAGTCGAGGAGGTGGAGTGGGCATTTACGTGAAATCAAACTACAAAGCAACTTTTATAGAACAAGATGTTTCTAAAACGTATGAGCAGCTTTGGTTACGAGTTGTTGATAAAAATAAGGTAATATTTATTGTGGGTGTTGTCTATAGGCCTCCCAATACCAATGTTTTAAATTTTATCGCGGAGTTTGAGGATGCGATGTGCAATATTCTACCGATTCATAGGAATATTTATGTGCTGGGCGATTTTAACATTGATTATTTGAAATCTGAAGAAGTTTGTGTCGTTCGTTATAAATCAATGTTGGATGCGCTCGGATTACAACAAATAATTAAAGATTCAACTCGGGTAACAGCACTTTCGTCCTCCCTAATTGATCATATTCTTGTGTCCGATCCGCAGACTGTTTTGTTCTCTGCGGTTACACTTTCTCATTTAGCTTCTGACCATAACTTCATAACATGCTCCATAACTACTGTATGTGACCGTCCAATTATGTCAAGACTCACTTATAGGGACTACTATAATTTTCATGAAGTATCTCAATATTTTGATTTAACACTGTCTCAACTCAACTGGCATGAAATATATATGTTACCTAGTGTAAATGATAAGGTTGACACATTCTCTGGCATCTTGCTTTATATTTTTGATCTGTATTTCCCCCTTAAAACCAAACTTCTTAACAAACCGGAATTACCATGGCTAACTAGTAATGTAAAATTTATGATGAAATTAAGAGATAGTGCATATAAACGTTACAAACGAACCAAAATCGCTGGGCACTTTGAGTATTACAAATCTCTTAGAAGTCTAGTGTCCGTTTCAATTAAAAATGAAAAGAAAGCCTACTTAAATTTTACTTTAGCTAAATATCATAAAACATCTCTGTGGAGGGCAATTAATAACTTAGATATTTACAAGAAGAATCATTCTACAATCCCACATCACTTAAGTAATCCCGATGACATAAACTCCTATTTCATTAACTCTGTTCCTTCGAATAACATACATACCTCGTCTAATGGTTATAACTCCATTCATCCTAATGTCACCACCATATTTACATTCACTCCTGTTGATGATACAACAGTGTTAACTATACTCAATGGGATTAAGTCTAAAGCTTTTGGTTCTGATGGCATCAATATTCAAATGATTCAGATGTGTTGTCCGTCCATGGTTCCTTATATAACCCACATTGTCAATGTCTGCCTATCCTCTAATATTTTCCCTACAGCTTGGAAAACTGCACTTGTGAGACCCATTCCTAAAAATCGATGCCCTAAAGACTACAAGGACCTTCGACCAATAAGTATTTTGCCGACTTTATCCAAGGTCCTGGAAAAGGTAATGAAGGCTCAAATTAGTGATTACTTCAAAAACAACCGTTTATTGTCTAAGTTCCAATCTGGATTTCGAGAAGGTCACAGCTGTACTTCTGCACTACTAAATATCACGGATGATATCATACGGGCAACTGACTCAGGGAAGCTCACAATAGCAGTTTTACTCGATTTCTCAAAGGCATTTGACACTATCGACCATAAACTACTCCTTAGAATACTACATCACTACGGTTTTCATTCTACGGCTATACAATTAATCTCTTCTTATGTTCAAGGTAGGCGGCAGAGCGTTCTTGTGAATAATACTCGTTCCTCTTCACTTGACATACGACGGGGTGTTCCGCAGGGTTCCGTATTGGGACCATTTTTATATATTATTTATTCTAATTCCATTTGTAGTAATCTGTACCATCAATATGCGGATGATACGCAGATTTATCATAGTTTTAATCCTGCTAAATTGAACGAAGCCGTTGAAATAGTGAACAAGGAGATAAATACTTTGGCTGATATTGCTCTAGACCACAATTTGCACATTAACTCGACAAAATCTGCGGTTGTTATTTTCGGTCGTAAATTAGCTAGGGAACCTTTTATTAAAATTCATCTCCGAAATGTGCTGCTGCCTGTAATGAACATGTCACGTAATTTGGGTCTAAACATGGATGCAGATCTTAAATTTACACAGCATGTCAGTGCCTGTGTGAGCAAAGCGTTTGGGACTCTAAGAAAACTGTACCCCAATAGAAATATTCTTACTCCTAAAATTAAATTGCATTTGTCTAATTCTGTGATTTTGTCCCATTTTAATTTTTGTGATGTAGTCTATGGAGCATGTATTGATCAAGTCACGGCGACGAGGATCCAAAGAGTGCAAAATGCATGCTTAAGATTTGTTTACGGTATCGGACGTAGGGATCACATCTCTCACAAAATTGTGGAAGCAGGGTGGCTTAATATGCATCAAAGGAGAATATTGCATTCATCTGTGTTCTATCATAAATTATTTTATTTCCAAACTCCTGGATACTTGCTTGACCGTTTAAGTTACCGCACGGATGTGCATAATTTGTTTTTACGACATAGGGGTCTGTTAGATATTCCCACCCACAGTACCCGTTATTTTGAAAAATCGTTTTCGTATAACGTGGTAAAAATATATAATGCTATTCCGCGGTCTCTCAAAATGCTCAGTCCATCATCATTCAAATCTAAAATGTGCCAGTTGCTAATATCAAATACATTGCCGTTATAGGTTTTGTAGCATTTCTTCTTATTTATATATATATTTTTTTTTCTTTCTTTCTTAATGCGTGGTGAGTGTTCGTTCATTGGTGTTACTGATATATATATATATATGTGTTGCTATTATATTATGCTTGACAGGGCTGCATGGAAGATCAGGGTATTGCTACACTGAATGCAGTCCTTTCCCACATTATTCTTATTTTCTTTATTTATTTTATTTTTGTTTTCCTATTAGTTGTTTTTGTGGGAATAAACATTATTATTATTATTATTATTATTATAGATTTATGAAGACGCAGTTTCGTCATTATTAGAATAATTTGTGCAGAAGTACATAGTTCAATTAAAGTCATGTGGAAAGTTTAATGCGATTTGTCCGTTAACGGAAGAAAATTATGTTGATTTGAAAAAGCAGTCTTAGGGCATAACAAAACCTTCCTGAGATGTTCTTTTCTTAATAAATTTAAAAGTGATTTCCGTTGGAACGGCTACCGAAAATTTGCAACTGTGTTGAACAGACCAATTTGTTTTGTTATCGAGATTGTGAAATACAGAAGCCATCAGTAGTTGTGTGTGAGATAAGTGCGCCTGTCATCGCAAACCGTTGACTTTCTTACTTGTTATTGATCGCCTTCGTGCAAAGTATGTTGGTAAAAAACAGGCGGTGTAGCCTCTGTTTCTTTCAGGGATTATGTTTTATGTTTGTTTCATGTGTTTCAGAAAAAAATTGTGTCAATGTCAATCAATTGTGTGTTTATTCGAGCTCATTGTGCGACCCAGATAGGGTACTCATGCCGGATTTTTCTATTCTTGCGGAAAATTTATTTTCGGTGTTAAAATTTTTACAAATGCATTTTTTAGAATTTACGGAAAGCGATTAAGATCATTGAGTTTTTCAAATTAAGTAATTCCATGCCATTATTAGAATTCTTCTTGATAGCGGGAGCCGGTCGTGCTTTGCGAAATTCGTGATTAAAAATATTAGGAATTGGCAGATGCGTGGTGTCGGCACACCATTGCATACAGCAATACTATCCAAAGAAAACATTGTAGAATTCTGCTGCATTGTTGAAAATAAGTACCTAATTTATCGCTTTCACAACCGATGCTTTATATTGTTGTTGGCATAACCGCATTGAAAATTTCAAATCTTACTTTCTAAGTTGCTGATACAGTTTTGCACATAAATGGGAGAAGCTTCAAAAACTGAAAATGTTATAAGACAAAAGAATTCCAACTGATCAAACAATTAACATACAGTAAAGTCTTATAAAAACACACAGGAAATATAAAACTTATTGTCTGATTGAAATTGACAACATTACTGGAATAAATTAGGGGTTCCTTTTCTTTAAACTTAACCTAATTAAATAGAATAAATTAACAAATTATCAAAATATAACAAAAATTCCTTATTTATGTTACGGTTTTTGGCGCTCTTCTATATTAATATTTTCCCAGAACGCCCGCTAAAAAAAACTGAACGGAACCAGAAACTACTTATTCGCGCTCAAACTCGGGACTCTCCACAATGTGCTCTAACCAATCGAAATCTACTATCTTTATATGGAAAATGTGCCGACTAGAAAATGCGAAACGGAACCAACGCAATGGGATGATTCATGGAGCTCTTATCGTAGCAATTTGGTATAAATAGAGAGTTCTATTCAAACCCGTCTGTCTGTCGTCTTAAACTTGAGATCACCATTCGCATGCAGCGGTACACATGAACATCCGCGACCTTAATATAATCCAAAAAAATTATAAAAAAACTCCAATAAGCACAATTCTAGCCCAAATCCAGATGGGAATTTAAGCTGCAAACAGAAATCTTCATTTTTGGTTTAAGTATCTCATCATAATTTTGTAACCCTACACACAAAATGAGGAAGTTGCGGAACAAGCACTATGCATTTGCCGCAATTGCAAATCTTCTTCGTTATGATCCCCTAATCAAAATTATGTACCTACATTAATATTAACAACCATAGCATTTAGGTTAAAGCTTAAATCAGTACAAAACGAACACACACATTTTGAACCTTCGTTCTTGTCAATAACGCCAAATTAAAAATGCCCGCACATAATTAGCACAATTCTCTATGTGAAATTGATTTTGATTATAAATGGTGTTGTAATCTCAGATTTAAAATTACATAGCTCTGTTTTACTACTGACGCACAAAGCGTAGTAGTTGGCGCTATAATTGTCATAGAACGAGAACAATTAAGGAGTTAGCACCCCTTTGATCTTTCCATTCGGGGGAACAATTCTATGGAAGTATTTGTCTTTTAAAAATATTGGCATTGATGAAAGAACGTCGAGGATATTTAAAATATGTAAGTTTCATGATTCTCTAGAAATTAAATCCCTACATAATTAATGTAGGTCACATTCCCTAATGTTGCTTGATAAATCATTATCTCGTCGTCCTACTAATCCCACCCCCGGAAACATCCAAGACTCATCTCCTGATGAAACTACTATAGTAAACAAAAAGTTTCAGCCTAAATACACCTAATACTAAAGTAATCGCAAGATTCTAGTTCCGATATTGCCTTATTTTTTAAATATGGCTATTGATAGCAGCCTTGCCGCGCAAATTTCCCCAGAGATGCGAAGTTATTTGCACGGTTGTGTTCCAATGTCACCAGACCATGTAATTAACTGAAATATTAAAGAAAATGTATTCGTTTGTTAACCAGTGAGCAATTTGTAAAATTAGAATAATGAAATGCATGTAACGTATAAAAACGTTTTGTGTAATATTACATTTCATTTTGCTTTCCACTCGTGCAATAACAAATTGAAACAAACGAACAGGTGCTCCCTTTACCACACATGCAGCTGTATACGTTTTTGTGCCAAAGGATTTAATAATCGAATAAAATTTTTTGCGGCAGTAAAACAAACATAATACTTTAGGCAGTGGTCGAGGGTTTGAAAAAGCTTTAGAAATGGGTCGTGCATAAATACTAACAATGCTTTACCGTCGAGATTATTCATCGCTTCATAACAAAATATGTTTAATATACACAGACTGAACTATGACTGAAATTTTTAATAAACCCTTTTAATAATAACTTAATTAAATCCCCTGTGTGCTTTGGAAGCG